CAATTAATTTTACTAATGTCACGTTTTGTTTTGATATTATAATAAAGTATATTATTTCCCAAATCGTTATCTATACAGTCCATGCAATCGACTTCAGCCCGCAGCGGCACATACCCCAAAACACTGTTGACAAAATTTAACAAGAAACAAGCCAAAGCGTATAGAAGCTTGCATAAGGGCTAGAGATAGTAACACGGATTGACAAAATAACCAATTTTCTTTTTGTTTTTGCTTTTCGGCTATTAAAAATTTAAATCTTATTTCCTTTCAGAAACTAAAAAAATACCATTGTGTTTATTTTGACAACTAATTAATTATTTTTATTGCTGTGTGGGTTATTTGTCATTAAGAGTCTTTGGTAAGGACTGAGTTTTATTCATAAACAAAAAATGTTTATACATCTCAAAAATTATGAAAAATAATAAATGATTCCATATAAGTTTGTTTGTGATCTAATCTTTATTATATTTGAAACTATGATATAACTAAATATTTGGTTTAAAAGTGACTCAAGTACCTGTCATGAGTTTAGTTATCAACCCTTTCTACATGAGTATGGCTTGAGTCGGCAAGTAGCTTTTTGCATCAAACAGACGCGGTGGACGTAGCCCTGTCGCCATTTTTCTGTTTGGTTAATATTGTAGTTTGTTCACTGTGCTTTATTTTGCAGTATTTCAAAATAGTGTAAGTGAAAGTGATTTACAAGAATGTTTTTCCCTGTTGAGTTTGCTAAAGAGTTTATTATTTGTTTAGTATTATTTTATAAGAATTAATGTTTTTATGACATATAGATAGTAAGACTATAGTTATACTTGAATTTTATATTCCTGTGTAGTAAGACATTTTTACAATTCTCATATTTTCGTTCGATCAATTTTAATAAATAATACGTATTGATTTATTATCCTTATTTTGTCTTAACCATATCCTATACCTAAATTATATTAATTGTAGTTGAATATTGTGATTTTTACAATTTTAATAAAATAGAGAGGAACATTGTTAAATATTATTACTCATATTTTTAATTAAACTCTAATTTTTACTGAAAATTAACAATATTTTTAGGTTACAGGTTATTTGCAGAAAGCTTATTTGTAGATAATCATTAATTACATTTTAGTTAACGTCTAGAATAGTGACATTTCAAATTTTAATAACAACTAATCACCTTTAATTAAAATGTAATAAACGGTTAACTGTAATCAAGTTTGCTGCAACTGATTATAAATATGTGAAACTTATTTTACAAAAAAATATTTCGGCGTCACTAAGACGTCAGACTACATCCTTGTAAGACGTATTTTTGACGTCAACCCATAACGTCAATTTGATGTCTTGAAGTAAAGTCATTCGTCTGTGACTTAGAAAGTCATAATTACTTTATTTCGGACGTCATTTTTGAAGTCATCCTGACGTCAGTGATGACCAAATAATGACGTACAAATATCGTCAGCTGGTTTTCTAGGTTTAAGTTAGCTTGCAGTGGCTTGGATTTTTATTTTTTTCAATTAAAGTGAATACTTTTGATTTTATCTTGGGGACGTTTTTTATATAAAATACGTACTTATTTTTATTAAAAATAAACATCTTAAGGTTCCAAAATTATACATTTAAATAGATCGTTCGAGACAGCTAAATAAATGTATTATGTTGTATTACAAATAATTTTTAAAATATCTACCAATCACCAAACATGTGGTTGGTTTGTCCAACAAGTAAAAGTCGCTGATAAAACAACGGACAAATAAACGGACTGTAAAAAAAACGTGTCACTTACTCTCGCCCTCAAGATGGCGTGGAAATAAGTTGCTTGGCCAAGAAACGTGTTGAACTACAGTTTGCGGTGCTCGTACGCCAAAACTATCGATTTTACGAAAAAAAGGTTGAAATATAAATTATTGTAGGAAATGTTTTCCAGTTTTATTTTGTATATTAACCCTAGTACCATCTGGTGACGTCGGATACGACATCGACTTAGCCATTTTGGCCGTACGAGAAAGAGGAGGTGGGCTAGCATTCGGTCCGCTTAAGTACCCTCCTAGACATTCAGTCTCTACATGCACGCTGAATTAGACGAGTGTAACGTGGTTTTTCCTATCATTTGTTGCCTGAAGTGTCGGATCCGACTCCACTTGCTGGTTTATGCAATAATTTTTACATTTATTTTTATTTATGCAAAATGGCTAATCGAAGGTTGCTATCAAAAAAAGAATTACTGGCAGAAATTGCGAAAGTAGAAGAGGGGGACAGTGACGATGAATCAATAACTGGCAGTATAAGTGAAACAGAAGATGCCGTTTTATCAGATGATGATCCAGAAGATGACGATTATGTGCCTCCTGTAGATTCCTACAAAAGTGACAACTCCATGGAGCATAATATTACTACATCATAGTATGGAAGCTCTAAAGCAGGTGGGAGACATTTTGTTCTGGGTAAAGATAATACAACTATTTGGACTGACACACCGTTGAGTAGCATTTATTCTCGTTGCCGTGCAAATAACATTGTTACTCATATTCCTGGACCAAAAGGTAGAGCCAGAGGTCTTATAAGTGTCATAGATATTTTTCATCTTTTTGTTACCGACGAGATAATTTAAACAGTAGTGAGCCACACTAATAAGGAAATCGAAAAATGGAAAATGACATATACTGGTGATTCTCAACAATCGTACGCTGGTCTGACCCATAAATAGGAACTAAAATAATTCATTGGTCTTCTATATATGGTTGGTGTGCTAAAACAATCAGGCCTGACAGTGCTAGATCTTTTCTCCCCAGTTTTTGGTTCTAGTCTATTTCGGTGTGCCATGGGCAAAAATCGCTTTGAGTTTTTACTGCGGGTTCTTCGATTTGATTCTAAAGTCACAAGAGCAGAACGAAGAAAAACTAACAAATTTGCGCTTTTCAGAGAATTTTGGAATTTGTTTGATGCAATACCATATACTTTGCTCAGTTTTAGGGGCAGATGTCCATTCAAAAGGTATATTCCAAATAAACCTGATAAGTACGGATTAAAAATTGTTTCGCTTTGCGATACTACAACATATTATTTCTGTGGAGGAATTCCATATGTTGGCAAAGAAGCCAGACAGTAAAGTAATTTGCTGTTACCAACACAATATGTGCTGACTCTGACAGAATGTATAAAGAACACCAACAGAAATGTGACGACATAATCGGTTTTCATCTTGTCAATTGGCTGAAGAACTTAGAAATAATAAACTAACTTAAGTCGGCACGCTCAGGGAAAATAAGAAGGAGATACCAAAATCATTTACTGATGTAAAAGGACTTCCTCCTGAAACATCAAGATTTTTGTACGATGATGAAAAAATGATAGTGTCTTACGTCCCAAAAAAAAATATAAACGTAATTCTAATCTCATCCATGCATTCCCTTGGAGATATAGATCCATTTACAAACAAACCCAAGATAATAGAGTTTTACAACATGACAAAAGGTGGGTGGATGTTTTTGAGCAGTTGTGCCATTCTAATACCACAAAAAGGAAATCAAACCGTTGGCCTATGCGGTACTTTTTTAAAGTTCTTGATGCTGCTGCAGTAAATGCCTTCCTATATTATAAACTAAATGTGGATAACCCTGTGTCACGGTCTCAATTTCTGAAAGATTTGTCATTCGCTTTAGCAGCTAGTCATATGGAGCAGAGAATGGAAAATCCAAGAATAACAATTAGTTTACGAACGCAAATTAGTGCCTTGCTGAATAAAGAACTTCCCGTTGCGAGCATGGCTGATGATACCCATAAAGTTCGTTTCAACAGACCAGGTCTCTGTGCCTTCTGTGATAGGCAAAAGAAGAGAAGAGGAAACCATACTTGTGGCCACTGTAAAAAAAGTGTGTGTGGTGAGCACAAACGAATTGTTTGCCCCCAACATTACAATATCAATAAATAACTTTTTTATTTTTGAAATGTTTTTAGACGTTTAAATATTTGTTGGTCTTCGAATAAATCTTTTTAAGTTCTAAATAAGATATATTTTATTTATTAATACCTTTATTACACAAAAAATGATAAAATAAAGGTAGTGTCGTATCCGACTTCACCTGGTGAGATATGTCCCAAGGTTCACCTGGTGGTACTAGAGTTAATGTTTTTATCGTGGAAAACTTTCCAGGTAAAACTATCAAATAACTACTAAACAGTAAATCTGATGTTTGTAATGTACCTATAGAAGAAGATATTTTTGTAACTTTCATATTGGACTAGGGAAACAGAAGCCTGCTTTAGAAAACACATGTCTGGTGTCAATGAAGTTATTAACTAACTGGAAACCAACAAGACCGTCCTAACTACCTATCCAGCCAGCCGAAACTCAAACCCCATGATGTAAGTCATTTGTTTAATGTTAATGTAGTAACTCATTCAATGATTATGAAAACTTGTCTTTCACACCACTATGTTCTGAAACCCAGTCAAAAGTAACGAGTTACTCTAGGGTAATATTATGTAAGCAGTTTGAAAAAATTTTTTAATCAACTTCGTTTGAGATAAGAGAGTTAAGGAGTCTCTTCCTTTCCGGAAAGATCTTTATAGCTTTGTTAGCAAGGTAAAGATTAACCAAATTCTTCCACTTCCAATTTTATAGCGATCTCTACTTAAAAGATTGTGGCAAAAAAGCCCAGGTTAAATGATCGTTTGCATTCACCTTTTTAAGTTTTTAAGACGTCTGTATACAGTTCCTAGCCAATCTCAAAAAGAAGAATGTTTTTTTGCTCTATTCGTCTCTCTCTAGAATAAGGATACTATAGGTATTTTCCATATTCTTGGGAAATTAATAAGTGGGAGACCATCTCGAGAATATTGTGGTGGTTAATAATTTTATTTAACAATTTCATTTTGTCCCATCGCATTTTTTTTTCTTCCATTGATTAACCTCATTTATCGGGAATCTGTAGCAGATCAATTTGGACTTTCTTTCAAACAACTAGTAAATAGTATCCTTGCCAGTGTTGTACAAAGTGTTAGCAATGCAAAAAAGCCACTGCCTTACCGAAAACTTTGCGCTGTTGTACTCCTTTGTTTTACCAGATGATCTATTGGTAATTCCAGTAGAACAGTTTAAAGTGATTTCCCATGCTTTGCTGCATATTCATGTAAGTGTTGAGAGGGATATTCAGGTTTCTTAATGTTTTGTCCCAGATTGTTCGTCAACTTCGCAAAAGAAATATTTTTTTCTACCAAAGTAGGATGTCGTAGCTTGTAGAGTTTTCTTTGCCTAACACAGAGGGAGATAATAGGGAGTTACCAGACATCTGCTTTCTCTAGGTCTATCTGTTGAACGTATTTTGAGGCTTACTCGGAGATGTAATAGAAAAGTAACAGTGAAGTATAGTGCTTTGTAGGCACCCTTTGACGGGTTTAAAAGAAACTTTCTCCCTTTCTTTGCAATGACGAAAAAGTGTTTCGATTTTTAATCTTACTTTTGATCCAGTTATTGGTAAGTGTGTCAATTTATATTTTTTCAATGGTAAAGGACTGAGACTGAGAAAGAAGGTGGATAAATACGTTATCTATATCTAGGGAGGTACTCAGTATAATATCTCCGTACTTTAGTAAAGGCCAACTTTGCGTGTTGGATTAGCAAGTTAATTTGTCAAGTTTTTGCATGTTTGTTAGGGAAATTAAATAGAAATTTAATATTTATTTTCCTATATACCCGAGTATATACCTATCTTGAATTATCTCTCTTTAAAATAAAGAATATTAGGCTAATCCGACGATAGGAATTTGATGGGAAGATATCTACTCTACCAGTCCTGTGTCTGCCAAATTATGCTGCCCCAGAATTTCCATGAACAAAATCAATAATTAGTACTGTTTATATTTAATGTCCACTTTTTCTTTTTAACATGTTCCATCCTTCCAATTACCGGTACAATGTTTTAAGAAGTAATTTGCTAAATTAAAATTCGGTATTAATCTTTCCACGCCCTGTATAACGAAACTAAATTACGAAGTAAAATCTCGGGCCTACCTGAGCGTGTGTACCAATGCGGTTTGGTTATTTTATTTACGTGAAATTGATGGAGAAGCAAAATCTATTACTGACGCGTCTAGACGTCTGAAAAAAAAAGGTGTCTTTAACATCTTTTTACTAACAGGTACTTTCGACAGGAGCTTAAGAATTCATTAGTGAAACAAAAAATTTTGAAAGGTAAATTTTGCATAAGAATCGACGCGACTGATGCTAAATGTAACAGAGTAGAAACGTGCACAGAAAAAGGGCAAAGTTTATTCATCAATCAGTAGTCTAATTCGTTTTAAAAGTTTTTTTGTCATGTTCTAAAAGGTTTGATTGATTATAGCGATTTATATTTTTACAACACTTTATACCATCTATTAAAAGTATACCTATAGTCCATTTCACTGATTTTGATTTAAATTAAAACATAATAATATATCGGTTTTCAGTTTTTATGTGTATTTTTTGGAAATGAATTTTTCCGTTAACGTGACATACAGCTTAGACACTTTTAAGTTTGACAAACATAAAAGGCATTGAATTAATATTTTTCTAATGTTGAATAATTGTTTTAAACTATTTTAAAATAATACAAAACTTTCAAAATTTGATTTAAATACTAAAACTAATATTTTTAACGATTAAAACGTAAAATATTTAAATGGGTAATTATTTAAAGGGCCTCACACGTTCCACACACAGTGCGCTTTTGTCTAACACAGTTATACAATTACGATGGGAAAATACTTAAGACGGAGTTAGCAAATGTATTATACTCGGACAAAATATTGAAGAAGGTAATTCCTTCCTGTTCACGTACAACAATCATACTATACCAGAGCATAATGAACTTGTGCCCAAATTAGTTCAATAAAATTGAATTCGCAGTAATACCGTAATACCACGATCACGAGTCATTGTTTCGACAACATATTTAATATATTTATGGCGGTGTTCCTATATTAGGTCCATTAATTTCACTTTAAGCATCTCCTCAGTAAATGTTATTGCTTTATCCCGCAGCCAGGTTTGCATATCCGCTTTCCTACTGGACATTATCGGAATACGTTCAACTAGTCGACTGTGATAAGAAGCGTTATCTAGTACAATAACTGAATTTCGTTCTACACGGTGTAATACTTCAGTAAACCATTTTTCAAAGCATTCCGCATTTATGTCCTCGTGGTAGTCTCCTATTTTTTTTGATATAAACACAAAAGCGCTATTTTCCAAAAATTCACTGTCACTTCCGATATGGGTAACAATTAGGCGCTGTCCTTTACCTGATGGTGCTTTCAAACCTGTAGATAATCCCTCTATAAAAGTTTGGCGATGACTAGTTACAGAAGTGTCTTGCCATATCTTAGGTACCGTGTGTCCAGCATTCACCCACGTTTCATCGAGTTAGTATATCTTTTTTTTAGCGGCTCTAAACTCTTTAATATTTCGTAAATAACGCCGTCGCTAGGACACTTCTCTGACTTCTCAATTAAAATTGATTTCCTACACCGTTTGACACAACGAAATTTTAGGCCCCATAAAATTTTTCGTAAAGTTTCACGGCTCATTAATGGAATTTCTTCGTTTTCTCTTAATTTCGTAAGATTAACTTTAAGTGTTGGGGCTTTGTTTTCGAAAAAAAAAAAAAAGAATGTACAGTTCTTCGAATGATTTGTTTTTGGTTATCGTCCAATTTCAACAATTTTCGACCACGGGTATGCGTTTTAGGGGCTTCTAAGGAGCCTTTTTTGTCTTTTCGCGTACAATACGTTAAATTGTTGAAACAGATACTCCAGTTAAAAAATAACTGCGGTTTACAGCTTCATTTGTAAGAAGTGTTTGTTTCAGCCCATCATACACTTTCCATATAATGTTCTTTTTATCCTTTAATAAGGGCTTTCACCAACGTAATTGGGTTTCACTTGAAGCCGCCTCTGAATCCATTACTATTGTAATAATATAATTCTACTATTAAATTGTTTTTAATAAATTTATAAAGACACCAATATTTTACTATTTAATAAACTTTTAAAGTACCTACCTAATATACTACACAATAAATATAATTCCTCGAATGTGCACTACCACTACTTGATCATGCATATAACTCACCTTCTCCAATATTTTGTTCGAGTATATAGCATAGGCGAGTTTTTCTACATGCTTACGGGATCAATAGGCAATAGTCTATGCGAATTTGCTTTTATAATATTCTAATGGTATTAAACTATTTCCTAAATATACAGAAAAGTAAAAAAAAATATAGAGAAAATGGAAAAAAAACGAAATTGTGAACATTTGACATGTTAAAAAGTCATCAAAAATTGCTATAAAAACTATTTTAGAAAATATAGTATATTCCCATTAGACACTCCAAACAAAAATTATTTAATTTTTTCTTTTATTTACAAGTTCTTTACAGCCGAATTTTTTTTTTTAATTTTAAGGTGATTTTGACCATATTACCGCAACCAACATTACACAAAATAGTTCACATACTTTTAAATAGATGGTTTGACCTAAAAATTTAAAATTTATGTCAAACAACTAACGAGTCAAAACCAGCAACGTTGTCATATTTTTATGAAGGAGCGAAATAAGGGACATTCGTTATTTTATTACAAATTTTATTACAAAAATTATGTGTACACATATTTTGAAAGTATACAATGTATTAAATCTGGTTGTGTAGAAATGTCTAAAAAGTATATAAAGCTTTTTTAAAATGTGTAATTTTTATGTTAAAAAAAAAATAAAAACATTATTTGTCAGATAATAAATAGTGCAACAAGAGTGGATTAAATTACTACAAATCGCGGAAAACGTCAACTTAGAATAGTGCAACAAGAATGGATATGATGACCATATCGCACGAAGACAAAATTTAAGCACGACGCTGTAGGCGGAGTGCTCAATCTTTTGAGTGCGATGTGGACAATCTACTAGAATTGTATAGTATATTTTTTTTCGGCCCACTAACGAAAATCTACAAATTTAAAAAAATATTTTAGATTATTAGGACAAAAAACTAATTTTAAAATAACTTATGAATTTTACAAACTTATAAAATAAAATTAACGTAAAATAGTAGTTTGTGTACCAAGAGTAGATATGATGGCCATATCGCACGAAGATGTCTGAGTGCAATATGGACAATCCACTCGAGTTGTACAGTATATTTTTTCTACGACCCACAAACGAAAATTTACAAATAAAAAATATATTTTAGGCTACCAAGACAAAATAAATAATTTTAAATAATTTATGACTTCTAATAATTTTTAAAATAAAATAAACAAAAAAAAACTCGAGAAAGCAAGAACGCTGATTACAGCACCACCTATTCTTTTTTTTTTTTTGTTTTTATAGTCGTAATTAAATTGTCTGCATATAGTTTTATTTAAATTAACAAATTATTTATAATTCTAGACGAAATAAAAACAGAAATGTGATTACTTATTGATTCTACACAAGAATAACCCATTTTAATATATGTTTAATCTCAACAACTAAAAAATATACTGACAATTAGTTTGACAGAATTGTCACTTATTTAAAATTTTAAAAATAATAGCCGTCGGTTGATCAAAATATGAACGGTGTTTGGTGGATATGATTTTTTGCAGTGTTCTCACTACCTAGAATGGATATAAAATATATTTGTTTAGTTGAAGGCAATAGCATACTTTTTCGTTTTTTAATCTGTGCGTAGATGAGCTAATATCTATATGGGTGTAAAAAAAAATAATTTTTTCTACACCCACATGGATATTTGCTTGTCTACGCACAGACGACAAAACGAAAAAGTATGCTATTGCGTTTAATTAAACGAATATATTTCATATCCATCTAGATTGGTAGTATTTAAAAAGTCTTTTTTTGTTTATCGTCTGTTCGTTGTCTTATAATTTCTGTCTTCTCTTGTTTTTTAGTCGATTGGTCTTCTTTTCGCTTTTGTCTGTTTACCTTCTTTCGCTGATTTTTAACTCTCTCTTTTTTTTGCTCTCGTCTGAGCTGTCGACAACAGAAAATTTCTTCGATAATGCCAGAGAGTGTCAAATTTTAGCTCTTTATTCTCTCATTTCAGGTATTCTATAACATATTTAAGAACTTTATGTTATTTTTCTTCTT